GGTGTTTGGGTGGATTTGGTACTAAAAACTCTCATTTTCTAGTCATTATAATCATAAATATAAATATTTTTAGTTTGTTTACATGAGTGTTCATATAGTTTGTAACAGGTAAGAGTAGAATCCAAATGATGACGACATCAATATTAACAACAACAAACACATTCATGATCAAGACCCCAATAAACTGCAACAACACAACACAAACATGTCCTTTAAACTACCCAACCCGATTTGAACCATCGATCTCTTCCTCGGAGACTTGTCCTGACTACTTCAGGTGGATCCAACAAGACTTAAAGGTATGGCAAGAGACAGGAATCACAAGAGAAATACTAGAGAGAGCAAAACCTAACGCTCATTTCAGGCTAGTGATCAAATCAGGGAGATTATACGTTCATCAATACGATAAAGCTTATCAAACAAGAGATGTGTTCACAATTTGGGGAATAATTCAGCTTCTAAGAATGTATCCTGGTCAAGTCCCTGATCTTGAGCTTCTCTTTTTCTGCCATGACACACCCATTCTCTGGAAAAAAGACTTTAGGAAAGAAGGACCAAATGCTACGTGGCCTCCTCCGCCATTGTTTCACTACTGTGGTCACCGTGAAGCTTACGGTATCGTTTTTCCTGATTGGAGCTTTTGGGGTTGGTACGTAGCCGATGTTTTTTGGACGTTACTCCGAAACAAAACCCTAATATTTTTCGAAAACTCGGTCTAACGGAAATGCTTGGTTTTCTTTTATTGTTTTATAGGCCGGAGGTGAATATAAAGGAGTGGAACAAGTTATCTATGGCGATTAGAGAAGGCAACAAAAGGACTAAATGGAAAGATAGAGCACCGTACGCTTATTGGAAAGGGAACTATCACGTTTCTTTGGAGAGAAGAAACCTTATGACATGTAACTTCTCCGATAAATATGATCCCATGGTTCGTCTCTATGACCAGGTATGTTCAACCATTTATTTCAGCATTGAGTTCAAGTGAAAAGTGTGTGGAGTTCTATGTAATAGTAATGGTGATTTCAGGATTGGGATAAGGAGAAGGAGATAGGGTACAAAAGTTCAAACCTAGAAGACCAATGCACCCATAGGTATCTAATATTGTTCATGTTTAAAGTCTTTTTTTTTTTTTTTTAAACTTTTGTTGTTGTTGATAATTATTAATATTTTGGGGTTTGGTTTTTGCATTAAGGTACAAGATTTACATAGAAGGTCGAGCATGGTCAGTGAGCCAAAAATATATATTAGCGTGTGACAGTATGACTCTACTAATTAAACCAGAGTACTACGACTTCTTCGCAAGAAGTATGGTTCCATTAGAACATTACTGGCCTATTAAATCTCAAGAGAATTGTGGTGACCTCAAATTCGCCGTCGAATGGGGTAACAATAACACTGAGAAGGTAAGCAATATTCCAACATCTTATAATACTTGTTTCAATCATGTAAATAACTTGAGAATTCTATATCAAAATCTAGACTAATGAAATTGATTTATAAATCTATATATAGGCGCAAGCTATAGGGAGACAAGGAAGTGAGTACATG